CATGACAGTGATCTTCACATAATGGTAGGGCCTGTGGTATCTCACCATGTTGTCAAGTGAGGTGTGAGTGTGTACCTATTTCTGGTTTCCTGTCTCTTTCACCCCTTTAACCTTATGTCAGGGGGCAGAGAATAACTAAGGAAAATAGGTGTTAGAAGAAGGTTCAATGAACAGAAATGTAAGCTACACCACTCCTCCGTATCAGGATCTGACTCATAGCCTTAAGGGCAGGGAGGGGGTAGGAGTGTGAAGACCTGATTCAGTAACTGTTTGGTAGAACTCTCATACTGGTAGAACTCATCCCAATGTTGTGTCATCTGGTGAAGGAGTAACCAGCGTGTCAGGAGCCTTTTATTTGTGACTATGTTTGGTAAAATCAGGTGCTGATATTGATATCTTAGCACATCATAAAAAGGTTCTCATATACTCCTTCCAACCACCCCTTCCATGTACCACTTCATAAAGGAATTCTAATGTCTTTCCCTCCATATTGGCCATGGCCAATAAAAACATCATTGTCCCTGAATAGGCCCAAATGGCTCTGATCACTTTGTTCGTAAAATGTTATCTTTATTCTATTCAGCACTTGATCATTTGAATGCCTTTCTCCACACCTAACATTAGGATTCTGAGCACTGACCTTGGATTGTGTTAGATCCTTTATTCTCTGCTAGCTAGTTATTCTTCCTGTTCTTCCCCACCAACTCACTTTCCTTTTACCACCTACGTAAATAAAGATTAATTTAGCCCTGGCTGTTAATGATCATTTTTCAGCTGCTGGAGTCTATGTTGTATTTAAATAGCTCCATTATACCTGAATATTGGTGTAAGTGAACAGTAATTATAATGTGTATCCTCTGGAGAATCTCTTTGTTAAAGTTTGTGTTTATCATTTGCATTGAATGCATAGTTTTCTTAGCAGTTCAAAAAGTGAATTATATATTATTATTATATTTCTTAGAAACTTATTTTGCTACTCATGGTTTCTAGCAACCTTTTTGTTTTGGGAATCTTTAATCCAAATGTGTTCTCTGTTTCATTTTATGTGTTTGAAAAAAATCTGCCTGCAATTATGTTTGGGTATTTACTTTCCCCCCTTTTTTACTTTTCTTTTTTTTTTTTCTTTTTTTTTTTTTTCTTTTTTTTTTGCAAAAAGAAACTTTTTAATGAGTCTTATTTATTAAAATGTGAACTCTGTAGATTTACTGCTAAATTTTAACTGCTTGTGGGTACTACACTGTAAATTCTAAAATCAATGGTTTGAGATATATGAGTATAATCTCTGCTTTTAAAAGATTTTAAAAAGTATTTCTGTTATAGTTCAGGTAATTACTGTATAGAGTATTTTTTTATGATCCCAAGTATAACAAGATGGCCCCTTCAGTGCTGGATGGTAGCACGGTCCAATTTATCCAAACCAGACCCGTGCTTATCTCCTAAACACATCCTGAAGCTCAGCGAGGAAAGATGCAATTTATTGATCAGAAAACCCTTACATTCTTACCTAGTTCTATAGAAGGGGCCCGACTGCTGCCTGTCTTTCTCATTTGCCACCAAGTAAATTCCCACTGAAGACGGACCCCCGAGTCAAGAGTAGCTAAGACTGAAGGTTGTGAGCGGATTTCCAAGCCTGTCTTTTGAGGGGTCTCTGGATCAGTTCGAACGCCCAACTTTGGGGTAAACAGTCGAACTGTTTAACTGTTACACAACCTAATAGGGATGAGATTTGTGCATAGGTGTGATGAAGCTATTCCAAAAATGGTGATGACGGTGGCACAACCTGCATACACCAAATACCATTGAATTGTACGTTCAAAAGTGTTCTCTACGGTTGTATGTGAGTTTTGCCTCACAAAAGATGTGTTTTTGTTTGGTGTTTAATTCTTACGGACCACTTTTCTTTCTGATGTCCAGGGCACAATAGCAAATTCATTGACTTGTGTGCAGCTTCATAAAAGAGCGGAGAAGATCGCCGTGATGCTGATGGAACGAGGGCACTTGCAAGACGGAGATCACGTTGCGTTAGTGTACCCGCCAGGTAAACGGAGCAGCTGCTGTGCAGCCCAAGCAGCTGGACTTAAAGAGGCGCTGCAACATTGTAGCAGTTTGATGCTAACTGATTCCTTGCTGCCTCCATGGGACCACAGCACACAGACAAAACAGTAGTATTTTGACAAAGGTTTTTGTACCTACATTTATTTGTTTTATTAGATAGCTGAGACCGCTCGTTTAATTAACAGTAGCAAAAATCTTCAACTACCAAATTGATCATCAGGAAGTCATTAATTTCCTTAGAGAAATGACACAGAAAGTAAACTTTGAGGCAACTGTGGCATCTCATGGCCCAAAAAAACACACCAAATAAAAGTGTTCGCTGAAGCTCAGCAAAACCCCAGGGACTGAAAAAGCAGCCTGTTAGAGGGTTCATTTGCTCACTTAAGGCCTTCTAATTTATTCCTTAAGAGTATTGATGATGACAGGGATGATTGCCATTCAATAACGTCATCCATTTCTAGTAAATGTTTTTATTTTTTCTCTCCTGTAGGAATAGACCTGATCGCAGCGTTTTATGGCTGCCTGTATGCAGGCTGTGTGCCAATAACAGTCCGCCCTCCACATCCACAGAACATTGCGACAACTTTACCTACTGTCAAGATGATCGTGGAGGTAACAGACATCTGGGAATCCTTGGGCAACTCCATCTGATTCCTGGATTCCAGTGCTCAGTTTGTAGATCGATTTTACGGGGGTTGTTGGTTTGTTTTGTTTGTCACTGCTGTGAACACGGGCTACGGAAGAGTCCAGTAAAGGGTGGTGGGTTGGCAGTTACGGGAGCACATGTGTCAGTGGAGTCAGAAAAGGTAGAGGATGATATGGTTGGTTGTCTCTGTCTTTAAGGGGTTTATAGTTTAGTTCTAGAAGCAAGCTTTAGATTTCTATGTGAAATTAAGGGGTAGGTACTATTGTTAGTGGCTTAAAGTGTAAGTTTGCTATTGTTAACTGTTGTTGTGGCTTAAAGTTTAAGATAACTAGAGAAAGCATTGCCATTGACTATGGGCTACCACACCACACAAGACTGAACTAACCACCCAGGGAAAATGTAATACATGTTCAAAGTTTTTCTTAAGTTTTCAGGGTTTCCTTTTGAAAGTGTAGGTTTGTTTTTGATGTTGTTAGGGTTTTGTTTTTACTCTTGAGGAAATTTGATTAGTATCTTCTCCCCCATACATATCTTTTGAGGAGAACCACAAAGGCAAAGTTACTCAGGAATAGCGAATACTTCTTTTCTGTCCCACAGTGAATACTTTACGTAATAATGTTGGAGTACTTTGAAGATGAAGGTGTCTTTGTTATGTCGTGCT